CAGAAGTGGTCAGAAGTGGTACCGCGGTCAACACTGCATCGTGGACCTTCAGGCAGAACCATCAGGACGACTGTAACTCAATCTCAGTGGTGACGTGCCAGAGGACTGAGGGTCAAACATAAACCAATGACGATGTTTCTTTGGCTTGGGTGAGAGCCCATTCCACAAATTATGAGATTGTCAAATGATTTTACAAGACAATAAATCAAATGCAGTGTTCCCGTCAATAAAACGAAGTGCCCTACTTAAGTCAATCACGGTTTTACATGTCAACCGAACTAATCAACAACTCTTTGAACAAGAAGGAGAACATGTTAATTTGGTTCCCCTACAGGCGGCACAGACTACAGTGGAGTTTATTTTCAATTTGCAGCCAGATTAGCAGGCATGTTTTTGATACTGTCAGAGCGGCAGAGATTTTTTTTTCTATTCCAAGTCGCCTTGAGTGAGTGGCCTTTTTAGTGCCTGCTTCAAAAAAGCATCCCCCCGTACCCGAGCAGCTGTCACTTTCAGCAGGCACTGTGGAAGATGGAAGCGGGGGAGGGGTCCTTTGAAGGAATGGTTAAAAGTGGGCGATAAAAATAAACTGGGAGAGGAAAAAATTAATTATACATAACAGACAGTTCACTCGGATGAGCACGGCGGAGACAGAGAAACTGAGGCTGCTTCCTTTAAAGAAAAGAAAAAGCCCTTTTCTGCTCTTCCACCAATGTGGTCATACTTATTTGGCTACATCGTGAAGGGAGGTATGCAACAAGAAATTGTTGAAAGAAGGTCAAGGCATCAAACAATTAGGACATGGCTTTCATTTCAAATTCTCCACACTAGTGCTCATTTCATGCCTCCGCTCTAATTCAGGCAGTTTTCTGAGTACACCAAAAAGAAAACTGCGAACCCTGAGCACATTCTTAAAAACTGTGATGAAGCTCGCAGATAGCCCAGTCTGCTTTTAAATTCCCGTCTGATTGGCACTGATGAGGGTTTATGCTGCTGGCTCACCTGCAAGCTCACCTCTTGATATGATTCGTAATGCACCAGCACTTTGCAGTTCAACACCGCCCACCGACTCTCAATCCCAGCGTCTTATTCGGGCCAAATGGAGGTCATTCCTATTTGAGCAGTCAGTCAAGACAGGCCCGCCAGGTATTGGCGAGAGAGTTTATTTCATATTAAGGCTTGTCGGCTAGAGAGGTGTTAGCACTATGAGGGGTGTGTGTGTGTACGACAGGGCCTTCGGGTAGTGCCCTGCCCTGTTGGTCCCTCTTTAGTGCATTTTAATATTGCTGCTGCTGTGTGGCTCCTAGCCTCAGGGCGCCAAACAAACCCCAGAGAGACCCAGTAGAAACACTCAAAGAGAGAGAGTGAGGACAGGACAAGGCTCAGAGAGGGAGGGAGAGGGCACAACACGGAGGATGCGAGTAAAGAAAAAGAGGAAGGAAGTCAAAATCAAAACAGACTGAGTTGAGCAAAAGGCAGAGGAACACGGACGGAATAATACACGCTCAGTCTGAGCAGAGCGCCAGCAACACAGCTAACCTCTTTAGCAGGAGTGACACAAATGAAAACGTATGTAATAAAAACACGCCATCTCCACCGGCTATGATATGAAAGCAGATATTGCATTACAGCGCTGCCTTGCCAAGGAAGCCCTTGATCACACATGGGGAGAGAGTTTAGACCATGGCATACCCAACAATTCAGAAATAACCCCTGTATCCGTTTGAGAAGGGAACCTTTTTCCGTTGTATTATGCTTCTTCATGCACTGAGACAAGGCGAGACATCCCCACAGAGATTTACTTTAGAACTTAAAGAAACAGAAAATGGGACTTTAAGACAGCTGGGGATGCTGGACAGAGGGAGAGGATGATGATGATAATGGAAGAGTCTTACATGTGGATGGTCTCAGGGAGGAGAGAACAAGCATACAAAAAAGTGTAGGGGAGAGGAAGGGAGAGTGTTGAGACAGGTCGGAAAAATGAAAGTAAGAAAAAGGCGGAGCGAGAGGTGTGGGGGAGGCTGGAGGTAGAGAAGGGGAAGAGAGGAAAGAAAGCCTGAGTGGCAGCATAAGTCTGGAGGCAGGAAAGCGGCAGAGAGAGATGGCGAGAAGAGGAAATGCCTAAACATGAGGTTGTCACACTGGTTTGAAATGTCGAGCAGTCAGGGAAGCTGGAAAAGGAGCTGGATTTTGCACTCTAGCACACACACACACACACACACACACAGCAAGCGTGAACACAGTCCATATATCGACTCGGGGCATGAAAGCAATGAATCACCGTACGGCATACCCTGAAGAATACAGTTATACACTTAAAAGTCTGTTCATATATATAAACAATTTCAATGACCCAGTGAAGTCATTTTTCACTCTATCTGAGGAGGTCCCATGTGAGCGTGATGGAATTTAATTGAAATGTCCTCATTTAGTTCCCTTTTTTCTGAAATCCCTTATTGGACAAATCTTTTAGGGGCCAAGTCGAGATTCAGTTCTCACTTGAGCTCACAGCTCTTCTATTTTGTCACCCATCTACAATCTAATTAGAGCTTAAATATGCCACTTGCTGAAAAGACCGGAGGAATGCGACGGGGGGCGAGCCACACAAAGGCCGGACCGGTGGGGTGCAAAGTGCACATGTCAGCTCGAATTCCAAAGTTTGGACATCACAGATTTACCCTTCACGGCAGCAGCCAGAGCGGACAGGGCAGACTTTCAAAATGACACTGCTGCTCTATTGTGGGGGCAGATCTGTATCATAATTAGGGAAGATTGAGGCAAATTGCTTGTAATTTTCTGGCTGGGTTGCCAGCTTTCATGTGAAATACCATGCAAGGTCAGAGTTTTGCCAAACATAAATTGTTTTCTGAAGAGCCCAACGGTATAAGGTGGGAGCTTTTGAAAAGCCATAAAGGGATATCTCACAGACTTCCAACTCTTTTCCTATTTAAGTCCTTTACAATGGTTGTTTGGACATGTCTCAACATGTACACATATCCTAATGATGGAGAGTTCACCACTGATTAATCACATGAAGTTGTGTTTCTTTTTGAACGAGCAAACAAGAGTACTTTGTCATTTTACACGTATGTAAGCTAAATAAAACCTGATTACATAGTGTTTGGACAAAGAGAGGCATAGCTATGTTTGGTCACATTGCTACCACTCCTTCTTGTCAGTCACACACTCGTGAAAAGTAAAGCTTGTTTTGAAGTTAGGTGCACCTCCTATGAGTGATTGGTGAGATGTCAGCCTGTCCGTGGTTGAATGATGTGAAACTGTGACTGGGCACCACCTCTTAAACAAACACTCATGTCACACGGTTCAAATCCCGCATCATTTAAATGTGAATGCTGGTCACTAAATTTAACTGTCAATGAGAAGCTGCTGCTTGACTGAGCATGGTGGCTAAAATTGGGTCATGTCACTTATGATAAAGAGTTATCATGTTAGTCACAAAACGCCTGGTGGTGTGACACGAGATAACTAAACCAACCAGTATCACTAGGATATTAATTATTATGTCTTACTAAAATGCAGAGTAGGACTCTTACTTTAATATTAAATGAACATTGCAGTGTTTTGTGTGTGTTAAAGGCTCTAGTCTGGCCTCACTCCCTTCAATTTCCTCCCAATAAAAAAGGTTAAAATTATGTCTAAGCCCTTGCTCATCTAATATGATTCATGAATACATGTTTAGAAAGGGCTGTAAATTAATTCACGTGGCGCGCGGGGTCGGGGTGGGTAGTCTAATTTGGTTAACCAGGATTTGATTAAAAAATAGAAGTGAGGAGAATCCGATAGAGAGCAATGAGAGCGTTTTCAATAGCTGACAACCAATGCGCACTCAACACACCCACAGCCAGCCTCACCACTCCATCCCTGCTCAAAAGGGGAATTCAATTGCTGTCGTATAACAAAGCTTACAAATTGCCTCTCATTTCGTTAGCAGATTAACGCTCTTTTCACACAACACCAACACAATTTCTAATTATTTCAAAGCTAATAGGTGAATCGATTTTTTTTCTCTTTAAACCAAGCACCACGTCCCCCTGGAGAAATCCAACACAACTCCTCCCTTAGGTCCATTTAGGAAAAGCTAGGGCAGGAAACATACAAATGTGGAGAAAAATCAGTAAACAAGCATGAAAGCAAATGTTTAATCTCACAGCCATGCAGCCTCTTGTAGTCTCCCCGGACTATTTATCCAGGCGACAGTAAAGTGTCAGCTGTGTGAATACCTGTAATTATGTATGATGGTGGAGGCATTCCTCCTCTGAGGCTATGCAACAGCCATACGCACCCTCAGCCAGATAAGCCCGCTAGCTACTCCGTGTCAACAAACACTCGTCCCGGAGGTTTCTTTTATTACTTGAGTCCACATATTACTGCAGGACGAAGCTTTTCCATAGCAGAAAAGTCTGTTTTTACTGCAGCCAACGCACTCCAACGAGCCAGAAACTCACCTCACTGCACCAAACGCGAGGTTACGCGCACAAATACACAAACATGTCCTTAGTTTCAAACGCCAGGTGCTTCGGGCGAGATAATTCAAAAAATAAAGGACAAATTAATAAAGTTAGAAAGCTTAAACGTCGTTCGGCTCCCAAATATATCCGCAGTTTAACAGTTTGGTGTGGATAAATCCGAATGGTGGTCACACCGGGGCACACATACAGCACACGGCTAACACAAACACGAGTCTCCACACACCAACACACACCTAAATAACTGCTTATTACAGATACTCTGCAAATACATATCATGTGTTTTTTCACGCCTAGGTTTGGTACGAGCCTTCAGCTCCTCAAACTCGTGGAGAAACCAGACTCCATGAAGGGAGAAGCGTAGGGAGAAGCGGGGGAAACAACGACAAACTCGCCGCACGGAGCAATGTAGCGAGAGAAAAAACATGTAACCTAAATATTTCCACCGGCTCCAGCAAATCCTGCTCTTTCCACACTAGAATATAAGACGTGCACCGGAGTTTTCACGGTACTTACAAGTTCAAGTGATCCGAAGGTTAGATATCCTCGCCATGGTTTTAAATTCCAAAACTTGGGGACATTCCTCTCTGGTGTCGGAGGTGCTCTCTCTGCGGCGGCTCCCTGCGTGTGAATGGAGAGCACAGGAGAGGAATGCACTCCGGCTGCGGGAGGAGGAGGGAGGGAGGGAGGCTGCGGTACCGTGCCGAGCCCATAGAGGGCGCCCCGGGGCCGAGTCCTGCTGTGATGGGGAACGTGTTCATATCTCACACGGTGATACAATTATCACTGATATAAAATTTCATGACCGTATTTTTGCCATTGTTAACTTTCGTCACGTCGTATAAGGGAAATCTCATCTTGATAAAGCTACATCTATGTTTATATATTTGGTTTTCAGATTACTAAGATCAGGTGTTTGACTAAGATGAACATTTTTTGATTTGATTCTATACATTTCTGAAAACATTTCTCTGTGTTGGAATCCAACAGACACTGGGATGGAATGGCTGCCATACTATTAATGTTTTCGCTGTATATATACAGTATTCATATTCTTGGGGAAAGTGAGAAATGGCATTTTGATCTCCCTGTTTGTATCAGACACACAGAGAAATTAATTTAACAGCATATAACCTTTTATTTTACTTATTAATGAATATTATAATGTGTTGTGTTTAATTATTAATTGACTTTATATGTATGTCATGGTTTCATGTATTGCTATGATTCACAGTGTTTTGTTAAAAAAAATAAGCACTTGTTGTCTTTTACTGTGCATATTGCACTGATACTACAATTATCTTTGATATATCTAAGTTTAACAAGACTTGAAAAGTTAGAGTAATTGTACAAATAAAAAGGAAATATATTTGTTATAATTTATACAAAAACGTGTTTTTCTTAGTACCACTTTTTGACACAGATCAAATGACACTATTCAAAAGACCTTATGGGAGTCTCGCATTCACTGTGAAAACACTCCCTGAAGTGATCATTTGACTTAACACAAATGTCTGTCATCATAATGTCTAACGCTGTGCGATAAAAGTACAGTGAGTTCTCTTTAAAATACAGTATAGAGTTACCACTCAACTCTAGCTTGGGGCCAATTTCAAAAGTAAAAAAAACAGAACCAGACACAAAGTTAAAGCCCATTACCAATCCTTTAACTTGTTTAATCAGTAAAGTGTTCAAAACAGCAGTATATTACCTGTCATCATCATCATCACAATAGAATTAAAGCCTTTCAGAGTGAACGTTTGTTTAAAAAACAAGGTCACGTAAGAAATGGACAACAGCAAGGCAAAGTATTGAGAGTGGCGTATGGGGGGAGAGAGAGGATGGAAACAATTATTTGCAGGACAACTCTGTGATGTTATTAGCAAGTAAAGTCCTGAGCGAGACAAGTGTGGTGGTGCAGATTAAAGGAGGTATGCAGGTTACATTTAGAGCAGAAAAACATCCAAGATACATTTACAGTGGATGGTGTTTAAAATAGAAAATGCCCTGGGATATGATGGCAGACAGATTTGGTTGTGAGTTCCCCAAAACAAGGCAGGCTCCTAATTAAATGAGGAGGCCCCGGGCCTGGCTGTCGCGTCCCATCAGCTGACACATTCACACCGACTCAACTTACACTGAGTGACACTTGGATGACAGATTTTGGAAACAAGCTGCGCCTGTAAGGCTCTCCAGCCAACTTTTTTAATTCTTACTCTTTTGTTATGATAAGTAATGTCAAGACAGTCAAAGTGACTTTGAAAGCTGAATTTCAATATTTATCACACAGTCGTCAACTATCAGGAGCTTACACAGAGTGTGTTTTGGGCACTGGTCCATGATTTCTCTGCAGCGAGGAAGCTTTTGGGGTAACTGAGTTATTCAAACAGGCAGCTCAGGTTACCAATTGCACTCAGGAGAGCAGAGAGCAAGATCTGGCACTAACCACACCACCTGGCCCCCTGCTGAGTATGTGTGAGAGGGAGTGTGTGTTTTAGAGAGGTAGGGGGAATGTGTACTTTTGATGGAAAAAGACATTTGTGTGTGAATAAAAGAGCAGCTGAATTTCAGCACTTGCCAGGAAATTTCCCCCGAGTCTATCACACCACCCAGCTTTCAATGCTTTTCAAAAGCCCACTGTTTGCCGTTAGAAATCGTTGGTTTGGCCTTAGTAATACTAAGAGATTAGCCTCACTTACCATGTGAAAGACCTCTGGACAAAACCATTCCCTATCTTACCCTTAAACACTAACACATTGATTAGCTCTGAGTTAGTGCGGTTCACGTCCACACAGTTTCACTTCGGTCCCTACTGTAAGTTCTCATGGGAACATTTTCATGAAGTATAAAACACATTAGAACAAACATAAAGTTAGCTTTGTGCAAACCAGCATCAAAAGACTGTGCTTTCTTATTTCTTTGAGCACAGTTGTACGCTGTATTATCATCATACAGTCAAAATAAAGATATAATACCTTGAAGATGTTTAAATAAAACTCTTCCTTTGTGTACAAACAGAGTACAACCATACAGTGCTCAGTGATGTTTTTTTCTTAAAGAGCCAGATAAATCTTGGCTGTCCTGATTTGACTAGACAGTGCACAGGCCGAGCTGTTTGGGCTGAAAGCAGAGAATATTAAATAAATGTACGCATGGCTGTTTGGTGGTTTGCTGCTGTTTTGCTCTCTATTTGCTTTGCTTTTTTCTTTACTCATGCACTATTAATGGGCCTGTGTTTGGCAAGGAGAACACACATTTTAAGTGAGCAGAGAGATACAAGAACTGACTGATCACAGAGAAAAAGAGTCCCAGTTGTCCTTGAAAACACAGAGAATATAGTAACCTGCACATTTATATAATACTGAGCAACTAAACTCATACAAGTAGCAAGGCTGTGTGCATTACTTATGTGCAGTAGAAAAAGCAGCAAAGATCCTGCATCTTTACGAAACACATTGTTATGATCACAGTCTCATGCACTCACTATCTTGTGTCTAGACATTTTCTGATAACGTATAAATGATAATGGACTTTAAAAACAACAAAAACCCTCAAAAGCTGAAAGACGATCAGTGTTTGTTCTTCGCCAGTTGTCAATAGCATCTATTTCACTGCCCATGTAACCCTATCCTTCTTACTTAAAAGCAAAAATAAACATCTGATCCGTGCCAATTAGGTGAAGCTAATCTGATTTAGAGCCAGCGGGTGAAGTGCAGGTTTGGAGGCCTTGTAACCTGAGGTGGTAGAGCTCCGGCTAAACAGATAATGAGCCATTAATTGGCTGACAACAAGATGGCTAAACCTGTCTGATCTGTTTGTACAGTCGCGTCTATCCCATTTCAGCTGTAAGGATCCTCATTTATGGAACCATGCCATCTGGGCCGGGTAGGGACACATAGAAACGTATTGAAGCTCAACAGGTGAATCAATCAATCAATCAATCAATCAATGTTTATTTATATAGCCCAATATCACAAATGTTACATTTGTCTCAGTGGACTTCACAGTTTGTACAGAATATCAGTATGACAATACGACACCCTCTGTCCTTAGACCCTCACATCGTACAAGGAAAAACTTCCAGAGAAAACCCACAGTTTAAAGGGAAAAATGGGAGAAACCTCAGGGAGAGCAACAGAGGAGGGATCCCTCTCCCAGGACGGACAGACGTGCAATAGATGCCGTGTGTAAATTGAAGAGATAATACATTTTACAGCGTAGGTAGACCAAATGTTTGGAAATGCATGTGTCTATAATAAGAAGATGAATCCATGAGGATATCCATCCAGGACTTATGATCCAGGACCACAGCAACAGGCACAGCCACGACTCGCGCATCCAGGACACAGGACCGCAGCAACAGGATCATCCACGACTCCGGATCCCGGCATATATAGACACCAAAAAGAAAGACATTTGGGGAAGCTGGGTTAATCGGAACATGAGAGTACACAGGTATAGACAGAGAGAAGGAAGAAGTAAGATGTCCCCCGACAAACTAAGCCTCAGCAAAACTATATAGAAAAGAAGTGAAAAGAAAACACTTGTGAAAAGAAAACACTTGTCTGTCTCTTCTGTAAAAGTACCATCATGATTTTTATTTTTATTGATTCCTGTGACAAGATGATTACCAGCATTTATTTGGTGTTTTCTTTCATCATACAGAGGCTGGCTTAACAAAAGGTTATAACAAAGAACAAATGTCCTCCTGGTTTTCAAAAGTCCTCCGACCACACATTCACCAGGTCTGTTGCTTTTAGTGAATAATATATCATATATATATATATATATATATATAATTCAATAATATGCACCAAAGTTACTCCGCTTTATTCCACTAATATATTAAATGTGAGGATGACTCTGTTCCTTTCTTTTCAGTTTTGTCCATAGCACATAATGACAAAGAAGCAATGCACATAACAATAATAATGATGAAAGAAAAATAATAATAGTAAAAGTATAAGCAATACACATTATGATACACTTTTCATCATGAGGTTTTATATTTACATTGACGTGGTTAAATGAATGATTCCAAGCTAGGAACACATTTTTCTTTATGTCATGAGGCAGTGGAAAACAACTTATTGCACGAAATGTATTATTGAATCATTATATCTAAATGTATATTTGTTATATTAAACGTATGATTTCTGAGAATGTGTGTACATACAATACATTTGCATGATCATACAGATTCATTTTGAAGACAAATCGCTATAAATATCATGATTTCCATCCTATTGCCGGCTCCCTGCTACAAAAACTCATTATAAATGCACATGCAGTACATGTTTTAAATGAGTGTTTGCATCTGTAAATATAAAATGCATGTGGTGTATTCAAAAGCTTTCATGCACTGCCTCTACTAACGGACACATATCTATGGTATGGTACTAGTTGGTAATAAAGAGCAGGAAAAACATATATATGCTTCATGTGCAACCTGTTGAGGATTATTAATGGTAAAATATGACAAAGCGTTCAACTCAAGCGAATCACAGATTTATATCTAGACACATGGGCTCATTAGAAAGCTCAGATCAAACATTAACATAAGGAGTTATGAAGGAAGCAACCTGGAGTTGGCGTAGGTGAAAGTGTTTATGCATTTCAACATCATGTATATGCTACAGTACATGTTTGAAATAATAATGTCTTAAGTAAGGTAATATGAGTTAAGCATATTTCCGCCTTAATTATTCATTCAGAGTGCATTACAGTTGTGAGGAAACCTTAAGAGACTCTAGAGAGTTGTTCTTTAAATTGCTGCAACCTTATAGGCAGGCTCATTGGCCATGATTTAATGTGCATCTTTTCATAGACCTCAATTATCAATTAACTGTAAGTGTACACCACTGGGAATATCCTCCGTCGTGTCCACCACATTAACATCCATTAGAAGGGAATCACCTGTCTGTGCTGCAGCTCCTCAGCTGCCCAATGTTTTCCTCTGGGCTGCAATCTGTCACGCTGCAGAGGAAAAGGCCGGTAAGATAATAATTTGGAAATGGCTTGTGAATCATTTTAAGGTGGTCACAAATCTCAAATGTAACAGTTTGGATCACACAGAACGATGTCTAAGCCTGAAGACTGATTCCTCTCATTCTGGATGTAGCATCAAGGAGATTTGTGACCTCATTATTGAGTTTTAAGAACATATTCTCGAGGTCTTAATTCAAGAGCTATAATATGAAACACAATGGGTTGTATAATGCAGCTTAAAATAGACATTTACCATAGCTTAAAGCTTTTCTGAGCCAATTAGCAGCAGGAGTTTAGTGATGTATATATTCACTACAAAAGGCAATAATGACCTTGATATTACATGAATGGAGTTACATTGTTAGAAGCATGTCGTGCTTCAAATGTAACACAGTTTCTTGGTGCTGAGTGTGAGGCGCGCTCACAGTAGGTTACTTTATGCAGAGCTAGTTATCAGCTCTACCTTTCCTTCTATTGACCACTGACTATTTTGAGAGGCTTGAGAGAAGACACCTAGATATGTGCTGCAGTATTTTTTGAAGTGCCCAATCATAATTAAAATCTAAGTGAGGGGGAAAAAAAATAATTAGTTACAAACGGCCTCTTTGTGTCATCTCGCAGCAGCCATCAAACACTAAATGTGTCCTTTCTGTGCCGGCTTCTGATTTGCACGCCCTAGAGTGCAAATGCTAGGGAGTTAGCAGCTTTTATATTAACCGCCATGCATTTCATTATGATCACAATTACAGGAACTTGTCATGACTTTCTCTCGATATTGGCTTTTTTCCCTGCTTCAGGAGCATGGGATTTGAGAGAAGATTAGGTGGGAAAGAAAAAGAAGAGTGAAGGCAGGGGAGCTTTGATGTTTTTTTATGTACAACTCATAGCTGCTTTTGTTATCGTCCTTTTAGAGTTTACCTCACTTCATATGTTTCTGCTGTGTGCCAGCTTGAAAAAATAGTATAGCAGCCTATCGTTTGAAAATGATCACAAAGCTAGTCCCTTTCAAGATCCATGTGCAAAACATTGAATAAGAAGTAAATATTTTAGGTTGTTTATGGAATGACTCAACAAGCTGTGGATGGACCACATTTAATCTTGTCCGATTTGTGACCAAATATTAACAGTTGACATTCCCATCAGTCTCATCTGTACTTTGTGTATAACCATGCTAGCATACTAAATGAAACTGTAAACAAGGTACACGTTATGCATTGATGTTAGCATTTAGCTCAAAGGCCCACTGTCCATAAGTACAGCTTAGCAAGGATGTGGATTCTTCTCTGTGGTTCAAATTTGTTTAAAAACTGTATCCTGTTATGATAAGGCTTCAAATGTTTCTCAGATGTTTTTGAAAAGTATAGTAGGTTATAAAGTAGACCATGATTTGCTCTACACCACACCATTCTGCTTGGTTTCAGACATCTAAAAAGAGTTTCATCATCATTGCTGCTCTTGGATCAGGCCAGCCTTTTTATATTAGGATGAATGAGACACTCCTGCTCTCGGAGACTTGATACATTTTGGACCTTTGCCTTGGTACTGGAGACAGCGTGTCAAAAAAAATATTCTTCTAAAGACTGAATACTTGGTGTAACTCCTTTAAAACCGGGGGCTTATGCCAAGCTTCTGCCCATGCCAGGTTTTAGGTCTCGGTGACAGTAACAGTTTTAGTCATATCTTGGCAGGTATGCTTATGCCGAGGGTTTTTCTGAGCAGGACGTTTGGGGTTTGGCTGGTGTTATATTAACAGGGTCTGTCGTCTCAGCTGGGCCCAGATCTGAAATCAGATCTCACACACCTCTCCGCCTAATGCTGATGAATCGTGCTGCCTTCTTAAGGCTTAGAACTTGCGAAAAAACTCTAAAACCCAGGACACACAGTCGTCCAATGTCGCACCTGTGCCTAATGATTCATTTTTTCCGTTGAGTACTTACTGAAAAACAAAAACAGTTAAGGTTGTCACAATGCTTTCCCCCGCAAATTACCTGAAGTTTCATCATCTCCCGGGCCGGCAGCTGAAGCTTTGTGCCACGCTACACACTGTTGCTGCGTCTCTTAGCTCTCTCGAGTACTGTAAAGCACAGTTCCATCTTGCCCTTGACAGAGGAGCTTGTCACCCTCACAGTAATTATACCAGAGCTGACGTCTCCTCTTCCCATTGAATTATTGAGAAGGTGGAGAGGACACAGGATCCCATGTAGAGAGAAACAGCAGTGTGCGCGTCACAGTGGCCCCAGGGTAAAAAGAAATCCACAGTGGAAGCTGCAGATGAAACTCTTGTCTTGAAGTCAGCTTAGGTCACCTGAAAAACATTTGTATTGATGTTTTGAATTACAGCTATTACTACTTCAAAAGAATAACATCAATTTTCAATCATCAACAAAGCTTTTGTATGCATGCAAGTGTTTTAGGATAGATTGGCAGCTTATGTGTTTCACACCCCCTTTGGCAACTTTAAACTACCGAGGCATGAGTGATTTGTAAGCTGTGGTGCCAATAGAAATACTGGACTCATTGCAAACAGCTCAACAACATCCTTCACACAATAAATATGAGCCATGGTGAAATAAGATCCTTTCCTATCAGCAGCGACACTACAAATGTCAGTGCAGCAGACCTCAGCAGTCAAAGTGCACCCAGTCCATATCATTACAGGAAATCCTGCCACGCTTCTCAAAATGCTGCCTATGCTGGTGCAGAGTCTGCAGCTCATGGTATGTAAGTTTCATTATACATTTAATGAAATGTGCAGAAGCCAACCTCAGCGGCCACAGACTGCCCATGTGACGGCACACTCTGTTTCACCTGTCAGAGGAGGTATCTGTCATCATCTAAATGGGACGTATGTGTACGATCAGTATGTCCGTTCAAAGCTAGCATCTCATAGTAACTATGAAGTTTGGCTCTCGATACATGAATTCGTTTTTTTTACTAGTTCTACATTGAACAGCCCAAGGTTGTAGAAATAATGTCAAATATACTCCCTTTCTGCAGAGTATTCCCCTCAGGTTTGGTGGCTTGTATTTTACCACCCAGAAGTTTATAAGAATAATAAACATGCAGTGAATGCTTGCCAATAAAACATATTGTACAAGTGAATGTGCCCTGAGAAATGTGTTACAATAGCAACACAAGAAGAAAAACCTTACCTTGTTCTTGTTTCTACTCACCTCTACACTTTTTTTGTTGCCATGGCACCATGGGGGTTGTAGGTCTTCACAAATGTGCTTTATGTTGCCTCCTCTCTGTGTGTGGGTTATATCCGCACAATGTTTTGCTTATAAAGACGCAGACTCAAGGGAACATGATAGAAGTGGTGACACAAGCCGAAATGAATGACTCATGAGATGAACTTGTGTCTGACAAGACCGTCTCTGTGGCTTCAGAAAAGTGACATTTCAAACTAATGAATATAAAACACAATGAGCGTTTGTTGCTGTATTCTAAACAATACCACATGAACAGAAATGTCTCAAAAATTCAATTATTCAAGCATTTGTCACGCTCGGCTGCTACAGCTTTAAATGGCACATTATATGGAAACATTTTATGGTTGGGAGCCTCTTGTTTTCTTTCTTTGAAGGGGGTCACACAATGTCACACTTTGTTATGTAATCTAAACAGGGGAGTTTACATAATCTATCTGATGGTGAGACCTTGAGGTTTCTGTGGGATTGCGCGTGAGGCTTGATGTCATTTGTTTACCTGTGCACCTTTATGTATTTCTGTGGGCACACAAACACCCCAAATTCCCTTTTTTTTTTTTAAACTCCAAGCTGTCTTCCATGCAGGAACCTATTACAGAAAGAACAAGGTGACATGTCGGAGTAGCACAGGATGGCTGGCCTCAGTTCAGTGCCTCCGTCTCCACCCCTGACGGAGCAGTGAATGGCCCTCACTCACAGCTGTCCTGGGCTCAGTCAGCCAAGCACAGCTCCAAGCTGGGAAACAACAAGATATGCTAGGATGCTAAGATTCGCCTGGCAGTGCAATTTTCCTCTTGGAGGAGATAGAGGCATAGGGAGTTATTTAAATGCTAAACAATGCAACCTGTCGCTGTAACCCCAGACAGCTTTCTGATGACTTCCTGGTTGGTTTAGCTCATACAGGATGTGATACGTGAGTCCATATGAGGAGAAATCCTCTGAGGTTGCTGGGCTGATGGCGCCTGGACCGAGTCATTTAATTGACTTGCTGCATGTAACCAAACTATATAACTAGCTGAACAGTTACAAATCCATGTTAATATTAGACGTATGCTCACAAAGCTAGCCTGAATCATTGGATATTATCTTGATATTAAGTATATCAACTATTTAAATAAACAACATCCAACTAGATTGCTCATAAAATCTCCCATGTGTTCAGCAAAACTGCTCAGATCCTTTATGATAACATCAGATATTACAACTTTTTCTTTATGCAGTTTTCAACAATTAAAGCGACAGCCAACCCTCTTTAACTTGAACAGCACGAGCAAAGTTGATCCTCATTAGAAGTAACAGCCTCCCTGCAATACGACACAGAGCACAATTAAAGCTGTCACTGCACGACTTCATCAAATGTGACAAACAGCTCGGTGCCATATGGAGTATAAAAGAAAGGTGCAAGTTGTATAAGTAGACGATCTAATCAAGGTTCAGACGCATTAATAACCCACTGGACCATGGGGTGATGGGAGCTGCTGGTATTCTCTTTCATTTGAGTTTTTCCCTAACATCCTAATAACTGTTAGTGTTATGCTTTGTTAGAAAATGTGCGGATTCAACATGTTCTGTGATATTACACAGAAATACATGTTACCATTTAAATATGACTTTAGTGTGTGACATTCAATCTGGTTAACAAGCCATTCCTTTAAGGTCAGCAAAAGAGGAACTGGATTCAGAAAAAAACAGCAAAGCAATCGTAGACAATGTGTCACCATCATTCAAATGGCGCACTGACATAATGGAGGTTTATTATTCATTAAGTGAGATGCCTTTACCAAAAATAATGTGCACCAGTGGAACATCTCCCAACTGTGCAGCATCAACAATACAAGCACGTGTTTCTATGTGAGCTTTTTCCTTCTTTTTTTTAAAGCAGGTAAGAAAATAAAAGACATTATTCTGTCATTCATTTTCTTCAGTGAGTGTTTTGTGACAGCCGACAGAGGGGGAATGAAAAGCAGTGGGTGTATTGAAAGGTGTACATACAAAGCAATAGAGCTTTCTCTAACTGCGTTTACCCGCCGCATGAAACAGAAATGATGGCAAAATTGCTTTTCGATTCATTTCTCTAAACTGAGTGCAATTGCAATGAGCGTGACAAGCTGCAAATTGTGCAATCCAAAATGTTATTAAGAAATGCAGACAGGTAATCAAGACAAAGGAACTACGCTGAGCTCTATTGTTGAATGTTTCCATCTCATACCTCCCATTGTTCTAGCACACACATACTTTCGAACGCACGTACAGAAATCTCCTGTGCCACTGATGTACTTATCTAATGACCTTGTACACGTAGTAAAGATATCCCCGTTTGACACAGCTAATTGGTCGACGTGTCAGAGGATGTTTAGCGGCTTAGGAAATCACATCTGCCCATTGATTTCTCCCCTCTACGCCCCCTCCATCAGACATTGTATTGCTTAATCCAGTCTACAACTCCATTGTTGTGAATCCTCAATGGATTCTCAGGCAGAGGAGGAGGCGAGGAAGAAAGGGAGAGGGAGGAAGATCGAAAGAGAGCAGAAAGAACAAGCGATTAAGAGGCACTTGGGATGTGGAAGGTAAATTAGAGACTGCGGGTTTGTGTGTGTGTGTGAGAACGAGAATCAAACAGCAGCGTAGATCCAATCAGACGGATGTAGAAGAGAGGGCAGAACGGAGACAAAACGTTCACTTCTCCTCCTTTGTGCTGAAGCATACTTAATGGCAGGAGGTTGGCATGCGACAGTATGCGTTCACATGCCACTGTGTCATGATTGCTACTTGTGTAGATGCTGAGCTTCTGTGCCAGCTGAAGCGTGCTAGCTTGGGCTGTAGCATCTGCTCTCAGCTCTAAGCTTGTCTGCCCTCTGGTTAATCAGGAGAGTTATCTGTCTTCCTCTCTCTGCACCCACTTCTGATCTTATAAACCCATTTTCAGGTTGATGGCATGCACAAATACACACTTACAGACACTTGAAGTGCTTAGCGTGTCTTTGCCGTGTTCGAAATCAGGGAAATCTTTGGAAATAATTAGATTGTGGTACATCGGTAATGGTTTTTGTGCCAGTGAATGTCTTTTTTTACAGCGTCAGATGCATGATGAACTGATTATGTTAGTGTTATGGCAACATTATCAGTCTAATAATCAAACAATAGAAGTCTGTTCATCTAAATTACAATTAACAAATGATGATTTTGGCATAGTGTGCTACTTGATTAGTAGGAATTGCTTATTATTCTGAAGATTAACCGAAAAAAGGTTTATGGAAATACAAACTTCTTGACTTTTTTTTAATGCTTTTGAGTATAACAAAATGTGACACCATTCGTACACCAACTTGGGTAAAAGACAGCAACACTTTTTCAAAGGGGCAATCATTAAGAATTACGTTTTTGCAACGCCCTATTTACTAGTGCTAATAGCAAATGTGGATTAAATTCAAAAAGGTCCCAAATAATGGGGGCAGCAAAACAAACCAATGTCGTTTTAATGAAGAAGTCAGGCAATAATTGTCCTTTTCCATCACTCTGTGAGCAAGCGTGATCTGATGTTATGCTTCACACAGCGTGAGTCTGCGAACAGCGAGCGTATTTGGTTACCTCGCTGAGGAGGGGAAGGTGTTCAACCTGTCGCCTGCAGCTCCTCGTCTAACACTGTTGCTGCTCCCGACTCTATTACTTGCCACGATATTTCAAACAGTTTGACAGTTAAATGTTTTTAATGTGAAGCTGCTGCAGTAGGAAATGTTCGGTTCCCATTTGCATTAATTTGGAACAGCATTTTCTCTGTGAGTGTCGACACAGAACTTAGTTTGTAATGATGCAGATATATAAGCGTTACAACACTGTGATTAACGGGTCATAGGGTCAATCTCATTAGTGGATAGACAGTGACCTATTTCAATGAAAAAAATAAAAGTTAGTAAATGAGTAAAATCTGTGTTTTTTTGATTATGGTAAACTGACCCTTTATTTTTTTTTTCATGTGCTTACACTGTAGCCTATAGAGAGTAATTGCACCAATGCAGCAACTATGACAAATGTGCACATACGCTCGCAGGCTCTCAGTCAGCACAGTTGCTATGGAAACAAAGTTTGTCCGGTTCATATACAAATGAAGCCTCACAGTTTTTGCGACCTTGGCTTTCTGGCTGAACTCTTCAGCTTTCACACTTTAGCCTCCGCTGCACCATGAGTGTGTAGTGAGTGTGTAAAAGGTTTGTGTTGCATTATCGTATCCAGATACAAACGCTTTTATGCCGGCAGTGTTTATATGATGGTTATAAAATCACATTATTCTTGTAAATGCAAACAATGATCCATAAGTAGATATTCACACACGTATTACTTATCTCAGGCTTAAGACATTAACTGACACACGTTGACATACACACATATTCAGTTGTCTGTGTTTTTCAGCACACACACATAAGATTTATATAAAGTCTCTTCTTACATCACATGATCGCTCTGGATGGATCCGACACGTTTGTTGTTCTCACCAAAACAGCAACTTGGGAGAAAAAAAGATAAGAAGAGTGTTGTGTGTTGTATTTTCACACAGACTGTCTAAATGTGGTGTTCTGAAACTGATCCTGGAGTTCAATGACTGTTTATCCCCCTGGCTCAATGGCTGACATGTTAAGCATCACAATGATAACTTCAAAGGCAGTCACAATATTTTCAAATGGTTTTAGTTTTGTCTGGCGGTGAGACACACTGAGGCCAGAGATATGCAGCATACTGCGTAATTTGATGGTCTATATTTAGGAATGTTACTTTTGCTCCAAGTAATGATAAATGGTAAATGGACTGTAATTATATAGCGCTTTATGCAGTCTTTACGACCCCTCAAAGCGCTTTCCATTCACCCGTTCACACTTCATTCCTACAGAGCAATGTGCCATTTGCTCAAGTAACTCAAATTCACACTCATTTTCACACCGTTGGCCATGCCTTCGGGAGAAACTTGGGTTAGGTATCTTGCCCAAGGATACATCGACATGTTGACTGCGGGGGCA